ATACAGTCAGTTGTTGTCCTTGAAGAGACAGGCTTACTTTGTTTATGTTCAAGGTAATGTCTGCCCCATACCCAAGTCTGAATAACCATATTTGTCTGTAAATCGCTATTTCAAGTAAAAAACATTTCCATTAAAAAAGAAAAGCTAATTCGGTTCACATTTCAAACAATTGCACAAGAGCTTTTTCTCAAGATATACATAAATATGCAGCAGAAGTGATTTGTGTGTACTTTCCATTTCATTACACAAAATAATAAAAAGATGTACTCACAAGGGCACCTGGCTGGCTCAGTCAGTAGAGCAGGCAACATGATCTCAGAGTCGTGAATGGAGCCTATTAAAAAAAAAAAAAAAACAAACAAACAAACAAAAAAAGATGTACTCAGGGATCATGATTTGGTTAAGATTAGTTAATTTTTACTGTTTTATTGAGAGAATTCATAGGTAAATTTATATTTATATAATCAATTTATATTATTGAGGGAATTCATAGGTAAAACTAGTCAGTATTTGTTTTTTCCACTGAGAGTGATGAAGAAAATCATTCCCATGGGTTCAGTTTGGTGTTACTGCCCTGATTCCTGCTGCAGTGCCTGCACTCTTACCCACCATGCTTTTGTACCAGCAGTGCACGTATCAATACAGCAGAAAAGACAAGAAACATCTTGGTATTATTAGGAAAAGAGTTTAACTCCATGAACCTCCTGGGAAAGTCTCAAGGACACAAGGGGGGGGTCTATGGATCACACTTTGAGAAGCACCACTTTGTTGTTATTATAATCTCTGCAGGGTCATTTGGAAGTATTTTAACTAAGCAAATGTAAAATTAGACTGGGGAGAGCAATGATTAGATCTGCTTTTGGCTTGAACTTAATGTCATAGCCTATACTGCACCCAACATCACAGAGCATGTTATTGTGCACCTCACAGTATCCGCAGGAAAAAACCCACGGACCAAAGGTGCCCGCAGCTGCGAGTCAACATCTGGCTGGGCTTAAGTGCTGTTGAGAAGAAATTCAATAGCTTCGCAGAAGGAACATTCACCGTCTTTGCTGAAATGGTACATTCAATGACATCACTATCATTTCCTCTTTGGGGGGAGTCCTGTTACTTGTCATCCTTAGAGAAAACATTCATCCATGTGCTAATATTAGACCTCAGTTCTCTGCAGAATCCCCCACCACTCACATCCCCCACCAACTTTCTGGTGGTCTCTGAGGTACTTCACATGTGCTAACAGTCTTGCCCATCTCCATGCCTAGATTTTACTATAGGCATGCTGGCTACCAAGTAGAAGTAGTGGGAACACCCTGCTTCTCCATTCTGTGTCCTTGTCACTTAGAAACCAAAGGAGCTGTGCACACACCCCCAGGTCTCAAAGCCCCTTGTGATAATAGCTTCTTTAGCTGCTTCCTGGAGTTTATCTCCTTTCAAGGCTCAGAAACTATATCTGAGACAGGTAATGTTGTGGCTGCTTAAACCCAATTTCCCCATCAAGCCTCTACTCAAACTTCTTCTTTCCTTCTTCAGCCTCAAACCCCCTGTCAGGTGCAAATCATCTTTTCAGTGGCTCATCAGCAGAAAAATGGAAATTTCAGCTTGCACCCAAACAAGGACACTCACTGGCAATCTCAAAGCCTTTTAGTGGTTGACATCGTGAAGAGCAAACCATTGTAGATTTATAACTACTAACTTAGACAGAAATGCCCTATAAACAGGAGTCTGTTTTTGCCACTAAAGCTGTTTCTAGAAAGGGTTTGGTCTTCATCCCCACTACATTCGAAGGGATGAAGGCACAGAACTTTTAGGCACCATAAAGATTGGACCTTTAAAGGACCTTCATAATGTCAGACAGATTCTTTGTAGACTGCCTGCAAAAGGTACCATCGGTTATAATGTTGATTCTGTGGGGAAATGCGCCCCAAGTTTTAGGCAGTAGACTTTACAAATAAGCTCTTAGAAGCCTATACACTATATAAAATGAGGACTTTATGTGTATTTAAAAAATTAGGTTTGGAGAACCTTTTGGAGCCATTCAATATAATAATGGAAGCAACTAGTGTGCTATACCACTGTTTACAAAGCACTTTTGATTGCACATTTGGACAATTTTATGAGGACCGGTGGTATTATCCCCAATTAATAAATGGGAATACTGAGTCTTAAAAAGAAGAGTGAGGTACCCAAGGTTGCATAATCAGTAGCAGCCCAAGTTAGGTCCATACCTTAAGTTTTTTCACTTTCTATCATGGTTTAGCTTAAATGGGCTTAAAAATTTATGAGTGGGCTTTATTTCTTGCTCTTTGATGTGTTTTCTCTAATTGTTTTTAACAGTATGAAAATCAAGCTCTTATGTTTGGAAAATGGGGCACTTCTGGATTAGTGGGTCATCATAAATTTTCTGATGTCATAGGAAAAATAAAACTCAAGAGGGAATTCTTTTTGCCTCCGAAAGGCTGGGAATGGGAAGGAGAGTGGATAGTTGATCCTGAAAGAAGGTAAGCCCTTCCATTTTTCTGAGAAAAAACGGTGACAATGAAACCTTTCCCTAGATATTGCTAAATAAATCTTTTCTATCATTATTCTTGGTAATACTTACGCAATACCCACTGAGCAAACTCCATAGAAATTTCAAATAGGTCATTGGTGCCCCATAATAAAACAAAGAAATAAAAAGCACCTGGTACTAACATTCATTGAGAACTTATAGGTGAATGTATCAAGCAGTGAGCTAAGCACCAGGGTGTTAATTACTTTATTGAATCTGGCCTATATCCCTATAAGGTAGCTAGTGTCAAAAATTATGAAGGATCTGAGATGTTTAGCTTACTTGGAAGCTAACAAGGTCACCTGCCATATTTCATGGATGCTGGCAAGAGACAAGAGACACAGGACTCCTGGGTCAGAGACAAGGGACTTCACTGCCAACAGCAATAGCAGTGCCAGTATTAACATTTGCTTTAGTTATCTGAGCTCCAATTCCCACAGGGAGACAAGAAGATGGTCAGATGACACTTAAACATGAAGTGGTTGTGTAATAGGAGAGGAACTTAAGCTTAGGGAATCCAAATCTTTTTAATGAGTAGCAAGCATGCTGGCCCTTTGCTCAAGAGAGAGAAAGAGAGAGAGAGAGAGAGAGAGAGAGAGAGAGAGATCTCTGTCTTCCAAGATTATTCCTCATATAGGTATCCTTGATGCTGTGGAAACATAAGAACTCATAGAGAATTACCTCCCAACAAATAATAGCATGATCTCCACTGTACAGTTGAGGAAAGTAAGACCTACAGAGATTAAGTAACTTGTCCAAAGACACATAGGTTGTAGGTGGTACCAGTCCAGACTTAACTATTAGGCTGGAATGTCTGTAAGAAACAGTTGAGAGTACACTTTAAATGGGTGAATTGTGTGGTATGAACAGTGTGTCTCAAAAGCTTGTTATTAAAAAGAAAGGAACAGTAAAGGGGAGGCAAGGATGTGTCCCCTGGAGTTAGGGTTTCTGAATGTTGCCAACAGCATCAGAGTCAGAGCTCCCTCTTCTCTGCCTCTTGACAGCAAACTTGAGTTTGGAGGAAACAAGCTTGGTAAAGTTGGAATTCAAGGCCTTAAACTAGAGTTTTTCCTCTCTGTCCACATTTGTTTCCTGTGATCACAGGCATTAGAGAAGGAGGGGAATGAGTGAGCTGGGTCTGGTCTGTTCTGGTCTGGTAAGACCCAACGATTGCACATGATTGCTTGTAACCCATGACAGCTTGCTTTGGATAGAGTTGGGGTTGCTGGTGGGGACAAGGGAAATGGGATTTGAATTGGACAGAAGGAAGAAAGGGTAATGAGAACAGGGAAAGGTGGAGGCATTGGAAAAGCGGAAGGTCAAACCATGTCAAGGCTCTACGGGACCCCAGAGGCAGCAGCCGGGTCTTCTGTTCTCCTTCTCTGGGACCCAGAGAATGATGGGATGAGCTTAATTTATACAAATAGTTGGGGCTACTTCTATTCTGATTTCTTTTTTTTAAAGGTTTTATTTATTTATTCATAGAGACACAGAGGGAGAGAGAGAGAGACACAGGCAGAGGGAGAAGCAGGCACCATGCATAGAGCCTGACGTGGGACTAGATCCAGGGTCTCCAGGATCACGCCCTGGGCTGCAGGCAGCGCTAAACCCCTGCGCCACCAGAGCTGCCTTCTATTCTGATTTCTTTCCAGTGCTCGATTCTAGGGGAGGATTGGGCAGGGAAAAGATGTAGGGACGGTAAAAGAAAAAGACACCTCACTTGAGTGGGTACCTGGCAGGAGACTTAAGTCAAAGTTGGAGCCTCTATACTTTCCTTTATGGGCTGTCAAAATAGTACCAAATCCAAGAGGAAAATTGGCATGGCAGAGAGTTATATGGGTTTCTTAAGTACCTAAATGAAGTCTGGAGTCTTAAATGACCTGGTTCGGCTGTCAACCTAGGAAACTATCCAGAAAATTTAAACTCCTCCCTTCAGTTTGTGTTACGTAGACCATGCAAGCCATGAGTAAAAATTTCCATACTTGGCCTCAAGAGACTATTTCCACGCCATTTTTTTTTAAGTAGGGGGAATAAGGGTGGACAATATCCTATTCTTTTGAACTGTTAGTCAGGAGTTTTGCTGACCGGCCCTGAACTGAAACAAAAATATGGAACATGAGATCTGTATAAGGAGCTGCCCACAAGACTGTTTTCCCAGTCCCCACCCTGATGACTGAGAAGGAGCAGCCCTGCTAACTTGAGGAGTCCTCTGTGATTCCAATCTCATTGTTCCCACAGGCCCCTTCTCCAAAAGAATGTCAGAAGTTATTAGCAGGAAGAGGAGTTTGGTGGAGAACCCCAGGGCTAGAGTAAGGAGGGAGCCGGTGTAGATGTTTCCCGGACCCTGGGCCCCTGGGCCTCTGGGGTTGCTGGCTACCATTGCTCCTTTGGTAACTCAAGCCTCGCCCACAGCTTGCTGACCAAGGCAGACGCGGGGCACATGGAGTTCACGGGACGAAGTGTACCAGAATGAGAGCCGCTACCCCGGGGGTGACTGGAAGCCAGCTGAGGACACCTATACCGATGCGGTGAGGGGGCTGCTCCCCACACGGAACCTCCAGCCCTAGCTCTTTGGAACTGTGGTCTGTGAATCCACCAGCCACAAGGCGTGGCCTCCCCTTTCTCTTCTGCTCTGTCTTGTGTTCTGAGTAGCCACACAAATGCACCTCTAAATATTTTCTATAGAAAAGACATTGGACCTGTTTAACTGGATGTTGGTATATGGTAAAGTTTGAGTTGTGCAATTTTTTATTGTAAATATTTATTACTTAACTAGTTTTTTTAAATCACAAGAAATAAAATGGACATGTCTCTAAAATGTCCCAAGAGCATAAAAGGAAATGAAAAGTAAGTCTTCTCCCAGATTTACATTCCACCCCTCAGTGATAACCACTGAAAGTATGTTTCTGCTCACACGCAAATGTAAAACTGCTCTCCCATGCCAAAACACACCTAAATAGAATTATGTTGTATGCACAGTTCAATAATTTGTGTTTTTCATACAACAAAATATCTTGGGCATCCTTTTATATCAATATGTATAGGTCTATGAGCTTTGTAAAAAAATGCCCACAAGTGTCTTATTATGTGCACCTTGTATAATATATTTAAATATCCTCTCCTTGTGGACATTTTTATTTTTTTTCCAGTCTTTGGTTTTTTCAAGCAATGCAGCAGTAACCATCCTTATATATACATTTTTATTCACTTGTGGAAGTTTATCTCCAAGAAAGATTCCCTGGATGAGTTTGGTCAGATTTCAGTGCATATGCAGTTTTGATAAATATTGCCAAACTGCTTTCAAATAGGTTGTATGAATTTTTATTTCCAGCAGCAGCATATTAGAGGGCTGTTTTCCTAAACACTCATTACCTCCACTACACCAGCTTTGTCTGAGCTTGAATCAGTGGTGCCCTGAAGTCTTTTCCATTTTCCAACTCTTAATTTAAAGTGAGGCTGTGGGGCATCTGGGTGGCTCAGTCAGTAAAGCATCTGACTCTTGGTTTCAGCTCAGGTTGTGATCCTAGGTCATGATCTCAGGGTCATGAGATTGAGCCTCGAGTCAGGCTCAGTGCTGGGCATAGAGCCTGCTTAAGATTCTCTCTCTCTCTCCTTCTGCCCCTCTCCACCACCAAATAAATAAATAAATAAATAATCTTAAAAAAAAAAAATTTAAAAAATAAAATGAGGCTGAGCATTTTTCCATATGTTTATGGACCACCTTTTTATGTTCTTAGGAACTTTTTCTCCTGTCAGTTTTCATGCAGTCAATACTTTAGTCAATAGGGAACCTAAACCTTGCTCAAATGTTACATGATTAACATCTAGAACCTCCAGTGATATTACCTTGTACTTGAAAACATGTGTTTTTCATGCTTTATCCATCTCTGATGGTTCCCTTCCAATATAACTCCTTATAGAGTCACGCCATTTCATAATATTAAATTGAACCATATGAATTGCTGATATTTGGCCATTTTTGATCTACTACAACAATTTTCCATGGTTCAACCCAACATACCCCTAACAGAAGGTATTCTAAAAAACTAATCTTGTGTAGCGATTGTGAATAAATTGAGATTAGAGATTCCTAAATTAGCATTCGAGTGCTATTGTTAAGTGTGAGTCATACTCTCACCTTTGCATTTTATCTGACACCCTGGCTCACTTCTCTTCTTCTTTTTTTTTTTTTTTTAAAGAATGGTGATAAAGCAGCATCACCTAGCGAGCTGACATGCCCTCCAGGATGGGAATGGGAAGATGACGCATGGGTATACGATATAAATCATGCAGTGGATGAGAAAGGTAACATTTTAGATCTATTACCTGATGGGCTCTCTGTAGCAAGGCCCTGGTTAACCCCAGAGTAAAGTTTCCTTGGTTGTGGGGCGGTGGGGAGCAGTCCTACTTCTGTCAGTCTGTGACAGTCAGGTCTTGGATATTACCTGTCATTATTCAGAGCAGAATCTGAAAGACAAAGAAGTGCTTGAACAGGTGCAGGTAGGGGCGTCATGAGTGAACACTACAAGATCACAGTGGGCCTTGTTGAGATGTTGGGGATCCAGGATGAGAATATGGGAGGGAACTGGCATTTGGATATTCTTCTCTATTCTAGTCGCACCCCATATAGGCTCCCTGGGAACATTACACTCAGGAAGAAGGAGTGTAAAATGCCTTAATAGTCATCCTGTTCAACAATAATACAGATTGTTTTGGGGTTTTTGGAAGTCTAGTTAGCACACAATAACGTAGATTATTAACATAGCTTCTGTTACTGGTGTTTATCCTTTTCTATGAACAGTAACCTGAAGTTAAGTGAACTATAATATTTGGAAATATCAAAAGAGAAAATGTGATTTTTTTCCCTTATAAGAGAAAGAACAAGTATGGATAGAGAAGGGTTCAAATTGATTATAAGTTCTTTGCTGATGGTATCCCTGGGTGGCACAGCGGTTTGGCTTTTGCTGATCTTGACACACTCTGCCTCTTTCTCTTTCTCTTTCTCTCTCTGTACTTTGCTGATCTTGACACACACACCAAGCCTTATAATCATAGCATTGATTGAGCACAAACTATGTGCTAAGCATAGTCCTCATCATTTGCAGGCATTATTTCAGTGAATTCTTTTAAGGAGGTATACTTTACCTTTATGCTGGGGAAATCCAGCCATAGGCAGGTTTTTTACTAACCTGCAAAAAACTTACATAGTAAATAGCCAGCGTGCAGGGATGCTGGGATTTAAACCCTGCTGTGTAACTACACAGGCCACACCCTTCAACACTGTCCCTGATGGCCTCTTGCACTGTGCTTTATTCTTAGATGCACATAATTACCTTGAGTGACTGGAGGGATAAAAGGGGAGGAGAACCCCGGGGCAGCAAAGGAAGCTCTTTGAAGAGAGCTGTATTCAGTTTGGTTGAATTGCAGCAAACTGAAAGGAGCAACAATGGCATTTAATGCCACAGTAGAGCATGTTGGGGGAGCAGAGACAGTGACTGGATGTTTTCTGGAAGTTTATCTGGCAGTCTGGCAAATGCATCTTTTTGGGATAACCATTTGCAAACTCTGTTCCAGGCTGGGAGTATAGAATTACCATTCCTCCTGATACTAAACCCAAATCTTGGTTGCAGCAGAGAAAATGTATCATACTCATAGACGACGAAGGCTAGTCCAAAAACGCAAGAAGGATTTAACACAAAGCACAAGCATTGCAAGGGTAAGAGTTACCACGGGAGGGAGCTAGGCTGGGGGCCATATAGAATTCCTGTTATTTGGCTATTTCTACAGAAACTGTTTGCCAATCAAGGGCCTAATGCCCTCCCTGCACAGGGGTTCTCAAAATGCACTTGCTACCCCAACCAGCAACAACACATTACCTGGGAATTTGTTAGAAATGCCTCACTCCAAACCTACTGACTTAAAAATTACAGGGGTGAGGTCCAGCAATCTGTGTTTCACAGTGTCTTCTAAGTGATCTGAAGTAGGTTAAATGATAAGAAACACTACCCAGTAGTAATAGAAATTATTTTGCATAATGAAGTAGTGGCAATAAATAGTTCAGTACTTAGAATAAGAAACACAAGGACTCAGGGGAGCCTGAGTGGCTCAGTGGGTTAAGCATCTGCCTTAGGCTCAGATCATGATCTCAGGGTCCTGGGATCGAGCCCTGTGGCGGGCTCCCTGCTCAGCGGGGAGCCTGCTTCTCCATCTCCCTCCGCTTCTCACACCTGCTCCTGCACACTCTCTCTGGCAATGTCTCCTTCTGTATCAGTTGCCTAGGTATCTCTCCATATACCCACAGTCCATCGGCCCCACAGGGGCCAACAGCTTTGTTCTTTGCTGTATCACTGGCTCATAGCACAGTGCTTGGAACAGAGGAGATATTTGTTGATGGACCAAATAATCTACCTTATCCATTAAGGGATGTTATTATTGTTGTTGATGATGATGTTAGCATTCACCTTAAAAGTTTTACTTCTGTTTTAGGCCATGGAAGAATTGGAAGACCGGGAGGGCTGGGAATATGCTTCTTTAATTGGCTGGAAATTTCACTGGAAACAGCGTAGCTCAGATACCTTCCGCCGTAGACGCTGGAGAAGGAAAATGGCTCCTTCAGAAACACACGGTGCGGCCGCCATCTTTAAACTGGAGGGCGCCCTCGTAAGTAACAGGTCCTCAAAGCTCAGATACTATTGGTTGAGGGGGCGCCTCGGTGGCCCAGTGGTTGAGCGTCTGCCTTTGGCTCAGGTCTGGGGCCCTGGGATTGAGTCTCACATCAGGCTCCCTGCTCATCGGGGAGTCTGCTTCTCCCTCTCCCTCTGCCCCCCACCCCTGCTGGTGCTCTCTCTCTCTCACTTGAGCTTGCTCTTTCTCTCAAATAAATAACTAAAATATTTTAAAAATCTATATTGGTATAGGGAAATAGATGAGTGTTGTATACACTACTGACTCCACAGAGATTCCTCTAGTGCTGCAGAACTGCAGATAATTTGAGAAAAAACTACACATCCTGGGTGCTCAGTAAGTCTTGTTGCCTGAATACACCATGAATAGAGGAAAGTTTCTAAGAAGTTCTACCGCAGACGCGCCTATTTAATGTTATTTCACCCAGCATGTCCCACATATATCTGTTATAAAACCTCGTTGCAGGTGACATCTGTTATCATCCCAGGTGCGGGTTCCTTGGATTATACCTTGGAAACTACAACTGTTCCATAGACCAAGAAACTGTATTAAATATACAGATGTGAGGGGAGAAAAACAGGAGGATGGCTCATGGAATTAGAGAATAATTCCAATGGAAGCACAATAAAGAAGGCAGGGAGGGGGAAAGCACAAAGGTGGGAGGGATGAATACGAAAATGGCACTGGTCCCTCTAAACCAACATGGTGATTGGGAGCCATTTCCTGGTTTTATACTTTTGCACACTGACCCTGCTGTGTTCTTCTGTTGCTTATTCTCATCCTCCTCCCACCCTTTTAATCCCTTTATTTATCTTTTATGGTTTCCCTTTTGAAAATTTTCAGCATCAGGGTTTGGTGAGCCTGGACTTGAGGCAGAAAGACTGGCTTCCACTTCTTACTCTGTCACTTTCCAGCTAAGTGACCTTGGGCAAGATACTTGCTGTTCTGGGCTTTATTCATTTTTAAAAATGGAGTGATTGGATGAGAAGAGTCTCTTTTAAAAGCCACCATTCCATTTCTTTGTAATAATTCTTGCCTCTCTGTTTTGAGGCATTGCTAATGAAGTTTTCTGCCTTTTTAGGGTGCAGACATGACCGAGGATGGAGACGAGAAGAGTGTGGACAAGCAGAAGTATAGTGCCACCACTGTATTTGGGGCAAACACTCCCATTGTTTCCTGTAACTTTGACAGTAAGTTTTAAACATGGATTTGTGCACTCCCCTGCAATGACTTATTTATCTAAGGCCAATTCTCTGAATCACCAAATATGATTAAAATGTCTTTATGCAAATGTAACTTTTATTTTCATCATTTGATGAGGATTTTTTCAGATACAGTTTTAAAAATCATATTTGGGGGGGGGATCCCTGGGTGGCGCAGTGGTTTCATGCGTTGCCTGCCTTTGGCCCAGGGCGTGATCCTGGAGACCCGGGATCAATCCCACGTCGGGCTCCCGGTGCATGGAGCCTGCTTCTCCCTCTGCCTGATCTCTGCCTCTCTCTCTCTCTCTCTCTCACTGTGTGCCTATCATAAATAAATAAATAAAAATATTTTAAAAAATCATATTTGGGGTGGGGAGGTCATCAAATCATTGACTCTGATATGGTCTGTCCAATATGTTCTCATTCTATATGAAGCTCCCGAAAGATTGTTTTAATTAGAAAAAGAGGTTCAGGAAGTTAAGTAAGGGTCGGTTCTGATGATAATCTTTAGGAATTTTCGAATGAGGCAGACCTACTATGTAATAATAATAACAAATACTTATCTAGGGCTTATCACATGCCAGGCACTATGCATATATTAACTCATGTAATCCTCATAACCACCCTAGGACGTGGTGTTATTATTGTCCTCATCTTAGAGGTGCAGAAAGATGAAATAACTTGCTCCAGTCTTACAGTTTGTAAGCACTGTAGACAAGATTTTAAGTAGTCTGACTCTCAGAATCTGTGCATGAATCACAATGCTCTACTCTCTATCTCTCAGATTACATGTGTTGTTGGGATGGGAGCAGATATACATTAATATAAAGATGGGGGTATAAAAATTTTGAACTATAAAAATAACTTTTAAGTTATTTAACTTTGGACTATCAAAGAAACTTTTAGCAGATAACTGTTTCCTAGATCTGGGGCTGAAATAGTATAGGAAGCCCTATTTCTATAACTCATGGAAACCAAGTTTCATTTTAAAGGTCTGTGATGACAAGCAGTGGCCTAAATCCAGGTGTTTCACAACAGGACTGATGTTCTCCTGAGTGATACACTTGCACTGAGCTTATTGTACTGATTTTATTTATTTACTCACAGAGAGAGAGAGAGAGGCAGAGACACAGGCAGAAGGAGAAGCAGGCTCCATGCACCGGGAGCCCGATGTGGGATTCGATCCCGGGTCTCCAGGATCGCACCCTGGGCAAAGGCAGGCGCTTCAAAACCGCTGCGCCACCCAGTGATCCCTTATTTAGTATTTTTAAAGTTAGTTTTATTTTATAGGAAGCAGAACTACTTTGGGAGCACATGTCATCACCACCTATGTGTTCTTTACTGTGGAGTAGATTTGAATGACCCATTTATCTCAAACATGTATTATCTCCAAATATGCCAGAAAATTTGCATTTCTCAGTGTTATGTTTCTTATAAGTAACCTCCATCCTCTTCTTTTTAGGAGTCTACATTTACCATCTGCGCTGCTCTATCTATCAAGCCAGAAACCTCGTGGTTCTAGACAAGGATAGTATTTCAGGTAAAGGGACAAAAATCTCTGTCATACATGTTATTACATAGCAGGCCAGCTTGATTCTACTTTTCATCAGGTGGGTGCTTTTAGTAATTTCTCACAACAAAAAGTTTTTCCATATTGAGATGAGTTTGATTGTGTGAAGTAAACTGCTCAGTCATTAAGTAATCACTGGATATGTTGAACACTATTGCTGGGTGCTGGAGATACACAGAAGATACATGGGCTTTGAATACTAATAATCATTAATTGATGAGTAATAAAAAAGCACCAAGAAGAAAAGCAATTTCTGCTCTCTGCTTGTACACACAGCTATATATATGGTGTGTGTGTGTATATATATATATATATACACACACACACTATATATATATATATATATATATATATATATATATATATATATATATATATATCTTATATATCATATATACACACATACATCCTGGGCTCTTGGGCTGATTGCTAAGTTAAGATCCTTTATATAATTTTTTGGTAGCTCTCTCAATTTGACAAAGGTTCAAAAATTCACCCATTTGCCTACAATCCTCAACAGGATTGAGGCAGTTTGGAGTCCATTTTGACCCTTCTGTGGCCTATCCCCATAAAATCCATGAGATCATAAAGCCCTGAGACCCAGCTTGCTTGCTTTGTGTGGCCTTTGGACTGGTTCTAAGGGGAAGGCTGTGGTTAGGGCTGGGTGAAAGGTCAGGGGGCCTGCAGCTGAGGATTTGTGCTGTTGCTGATGGGATCATGAATGGTTCAGGGTCCATGTTGGCTACGTGGGGAGATTTCCACTTCAGGGCTTGAAGGCCAGCAGAGCTTTGATGGAAGCACTCTTAAAGCAGTTGCCTGACACTCAGGCATGCTCACATCAATTGTGAGGTATATTCCAAGCACTGATGTAACCAACATTTGTGCATGGTTTCCTTTTCTAATATATTAGAGCAGATTCAAAGTTATCCTTCTAAAATGCATCTCCAAAAGGGGTTTGAAGACATTTTTTCTGAATATTTACCACCAGGGGGCACTCAATCATTGAAAGTCAAAGTTAGAATCCTAATCCAAATTCTTGACTAGAGTTGCATAAAACTCAACACATGCCTTGCAGTTTGAGATAGAGGATATATGATCGGAGCAAAAACAAAGCGTCCCATTTGTGTGTGATGCCTCAGTGCTAAAACTGAAACAGCCTTTTGGATGATGCAACACTTTCAGGTTAGATATTAGGCTGTTGCTCAGAAGGGTCAGCTCCCAGGCAGTTGCAAAAGTTTTGGTGAAGTTATTTAGCATGGAAGAGAAACAGATTGCTTCTTTTTTCCTTATCTTTCTTCAGCTTATTGAGGTATAATTGACAAATAAGGTTTTACACTTAAAGTATAAGTAATGATTTGATATACAAATATGTTATGAAATGTTCCCAAAACTGCATTAATTAACACACCTGTCACCTCACGTAGTTAATTCCATGTGTGTGAGACAGAACATTCAAGTTCTCCTCTCCTAGCAAATTTCAGTTATACAATACACATTCTTTAACTATAGTCCTCATGTTATACATCAGGTCCAGGCCTTATTCATCTTATAACCGAAATGTGTACCCCCCAACTAACCTCTCCCCATTTCAACCCATCTCCCAGCCCCTGGCAAACATCATCCTCCTTTCTGTTTCTATTAGTTTGATTTTTGAGGAGGTGTGGGGGGACACCCACATAGAAGTGATACCTTGTAGTATTTGTCTTTCTCAGTCTGGTTTGTTTCACTTAGCATAATGCCCTCCAGGTTCATCTGTGTTGTCACAAATGACAGGATTCCCTTCTTTTTAAATGACTGAATTATATCTATGTATGGTATATACATAATACCACATTTTCTTTATTTATTCATCCATCAGTGGATACTGAAGTTTCTCCCATACCATGGCTATTGTGACTAACACTGCAATGAACATGGGAATACAGATAGCTCTTTGAGATAATTATTTCATTTGCTTTGAATAAGTACCCAGAAATGGGACTGGTGGATTATATGATAGCACTATTTTTTATTTCTTGGGGAACCTCCATACTGTTTTCTGCAGTGGCTGCCTCAGTCTACATTCACACCAGTAGGCACAAGCATCCCCTATTCTTCACATCCTCACCAACACTGACTGTCTCCTATCTTTTTGATGAGAGATATCCTACCAGGTGTGAGGGGATATCTCATTCTAGTTTTGATTTGCATTTCCCAGGTGATTAGTGAGTGACATTGAGCACCTTTTCATGTACCTTGTGGCCATTTGTATGTCTTCTTGAGAGAAACATCTCTTCAGGTCCTTTGCTCATTTTAAATTGGGTTATTTGGGCCTTTTGGTATTTTGTATGAGTTCCTTGAGTATTTTAGATATTAACTCCTCATCAGATATGTGGTTTGCAAATATTTTCTCCCATCCCGTGGGTTTCCATTTTGTTGATCGTTTCCTTTGCTTTGCTGTGCAGAAGCTTTTTAGTTTGATGCAGTTCCATTTGTTTGCTTTTGCTTCTGTTGCCTTTGTTTTTGGTGTCAAATCCAAAAAAATCATTGCCAAGACTACTATCAAGAAGCTTGCCCCTTATATATTCTCCTAGGAGTCTTATGGCCTCGGGTCTTATGTTCATGTATTTAGCCTATTTCGAGTTGATTGATTTTTCGTATGGTGTAAAACAGGGCTCCAGTTTCATTCTTCTGCATGTGGCTGTCCAGTTTACCAGCACCATTTATCAAAGAGACTATCCTTTCTTTACTGTGCATTCTTGGTGGCTTTATCAAAAATTAATTCTATCCTTTCTCCACTGTGTATTCTTGGTACTTATGTTGAAGATTAATTGATCACATATGCATGCATTTATTTATGGGTTCTCTATTCCGTTCTGTTGGACCATGTGTCTGTTTTTATGCTAAGACCATACTGTTTTGATTACTATAGTTTTGTAATATAGTTTGAAACCAGCAAGTGTGATGCCTCAAGGTTTGTTCTTTCTCAATATTGCTCTGGCAGTCTATCTCTCAGGTGGTGGTGAGAGTCTGTGATCAGTGCAACTGGAGGTAGACCATGTGATTGAAATGAGTGCTCCTGGGGAGCTGGACAGCCATGGCCTCACTCACGGGTACTGTATTTTTTTCTGTTTTAGATCCATATGCACATGTCTCCTTCTTTTTTTTTTTTTTTTTTTTTATAAATTAATTTTTATTGGTGTTCAATTTACCAACATACAGAATAACACCCAGTGCTCATCCCGTCAAGTGTCCCCCTCAGTGCCCGTCACCCATTCACCCCCACCCCCCGCCCTCCTCCCCCTCCACCACCCCTAGTTCATTTCCCAGAGTTAGAAGTCTTTATGTTCTGTCTCCCTTTCTGATATTTCTCACACATTTCTTCTCCCTTCCCTTATATTCCCTTTCGCTATTATTCATATTCCCCAAATGAATGAGAACATACACTGTTTGTCCTTCTCCGGTTACTGTGGCCAAGTTCAAAAAGGGTGTTGCCTGAGTTCTTCTCTGGGATTTTGATGGAATCTTGTCTCACATTTAGATCTTTCATCCATTTTGAGTTTATCTTTGTGTATGGTGCAAGAGAGTGGTCTAGTTTCATTCTTCTGCATGTGGATGACCAATTTTCCCAGCACCATTTATTGAAGAGACTGTCTTTCTTCCAGTGGATCGTCTTTCCTCCTTTATCGTATATTAGTTGAGCATAAAGTTCAGGGTCCACTTCTGGGTTCTCTGTTCTGTTCCATTGATCTATGTGTCTGTTTTTGTGCCAGTACCACACTGTCTTGATGAACACAGCTTTGTAGTACAACCTGAAATCTGGCATTGTGATGCCCCCAGATATGGTTTTCTTTTTTTAAAATTCCCCTGGCTGTTTGGGGTCTTTTCTGATTCCACACAAATCTTAAAATAATTTGTTCTAAGTCTCTGAAGAAAGTCCATGGTATTTTGATAGGGATTGCATTATACGTGTAAATTGCCCTGGGTAACATTGACATTTTCACAATATTAATTCTGCCAATCCATGAGCATGGAATATTTTTCCATCTCTTTGTGTCTTCCTCAATTTCTTTCAGAAGTGTTCTGTAGTTTTTAGGGTATATTTTGAGAACCATTTGAATGGTAAATGGTTCTCCAACCTTTTATTTTCAGGTTGTAGGTGTCCTTCTGTCTAAAATGAGTCTCTTGTAGACAACAAATAGATGGGTCCTGTTTTTTTATCCAGTCTGAAACTCTGCGCCTTTTGATGGGGTCATTAAGCCCATTCACGTTCAGAGTTACTTGAACTTCTTCTTAAAGGGGAGTTTTAAGAGTCCCCCTTAAAATTTCTTGCAGAGCTGGTTTGGAGGTCACATATTCTTTCAGTTCCTGCCTGTCTTGGAAGCTCTTTATCTCTCCTTCCATTTTGAATGAGAGCCTTGCTGGATAAAGTATTCTTGGTTGCATGTTCTTCTCATTTAGGACCCTGAATATATCCTGCCAGCCCTTTCTGGCCTGCCAGGTCTCTGTGGAGAGGTCTGCTGTTACCCTAATATTCCTCCCCATGAAAGTCAGGGACTTCTTGTCTCTTGCTGCTTTAAGGATCTTCTCTTTATCTTTGGAATTTGCAAGCTTCACTATTAGATGTCGAGGTGTTGAACGGTTTTTATTGATTTTAGGGGGGGATCTCTCTATTTCCTGGATCTGAATGCCTGTTTCCCTTCCCAGATTGGGAAAGTTTTCAGCTAGGATTTGTTCAAATACATATTCTGGCCCTCTGTCCCTTTCGGCACCCTCGGGAACCCCAATTAAACGTAGGTTTTTCTTCCTTAGAGTGTCATTTATTTGCCTTAATCTGTCTTCATGGTCCCTTAATTGTCTGTCTCTTTTTTCCTCAGTTTCCCTCTTTGCCATCAACTTGTCTTCTATGTCACTCACTCGTTCTTCCACCACGTTAACCCTCGTCGTTAGGACTTCTAGTTTGGATTGCATCTCATTCAATTGATTTTTAA